GGGGGGGGGGGGGATTTGTGCAGTGCTGTTGTGTAAGCACATTATTATAAAACAGAACAACAACTTATTCAGAAAATCAAAAACATCTGAAGACTAGAAAGAATAAGGACATGGGGACAATGGCTGAGGATATCCAGATTTTTATTCAAACAGAGCTCTGCCTTGAATCTGAATCATCTTCAGAAAGATGAATAGGCTTTAAAAAAGTCACCTGTCAATTGTCTAATGCTATCCAGCTGTGTATTTGGTTTTATTCCTATAGTGACACATTAATTAATTTAAGCGCAATTTAGAAGTCGGCAGCGGCACATCGAGGGAAGAAGAAGAGAAAGGAGGAGGCGGAGCGGTGGGATGATTTTAAGTGCTCTTCTTTCAAGACTTGTGCCTGGGGATTTTGTTTCTGCTTCTGGATCGACTGCTGCACAGCTGTAAGTCCGAGGAAGCCCCCTGGCTTACAGAATGAGCTGTCAGCAGCCGCTCAACCTGCAGCGTTCTGAGAGCACAAGGGTTAATCCGAGGCATGCACACACGTCCTGCCGCGATAACGCCCCGAGCGATGAGACCTTTTGCTCCAGAGGATATTCTGGCTCTGTCGGGTGATTCATTTTGTCTGCAAAATCAAGCATGTAATGCCTCTTCTCCTTTGCGCTCCCCTTCCGTCCCTGTTTCAGTCTCCCCGGTGACAGCTGATGTTCTGCTGCGCTTTCACTGCAGGACCCTGAGCAGCTGCTTTGCGCTGTTTGGGAAACCCTGAGATTAGGTAAATTAAATAATAATAATAAAAATAAATATATCCCTCAGCACCCAAATCATGGCTATGGGAAGCTTCCCTTTGCTGCCGTGTCTGGTCCGATTTACACAGCGGTCACGGAGGTGGGGAGCGAGCCCTGCCTCAGCCGACTCAGATCAGTGCACGTTGCTCTCTGTCTGTCCGTTCGTGGTCAGGATGGCCAAAACGCACCCGGTCCCCAGGGTGCCAGCAGGAGAGACTTGTCTATCTGTTTTCAAATGAAACAGGGATCTTTCCGTCTCTAGAGCGTGGATTTAGTTGTCAGCTCTGTTTACTATTGCTGGATGTCCCTCAGCTGCCGCGGAGCTGAGCGCAGTAACTCAGCGGAGAGCTTCTCCTTTCAGCCCTGCGTCAGGCTGAGACCCCGCGACAGCCCTCGCTGCGACCTGAAGGATGAGGGATGTTAAGCAGAGTGAGCATAACATTCCCAGGGCACTCCCAAGGGCTCTTCCAAAGGCTTGAAAAAGCCTCTTAAAAACGGCAGCAGAGATGGAAGGCAGTTAAGGGAGAGGGAGAAAAAAAAAAAGGAAGAAAAAACTTTGGCAAGCGTGCAGTGTCTTACATCAATCTAGCAGTCAGCATCGATGTAGATGTTCTTTCCTCCTTTTGTGCAACACCCCTTCCCTCCTACAGACCACCCAAAGCCCTATAAATAATCCAAGGACCGTATTTTTTCTCCAGCTTTCTCTTCAGACCTCGAAGGGAAAATATCAGGCGGGAGAAAGAAACAGAAGAGAGAGAGGAGGGCAGAGAGAGAGGAGAGATGGCCAGCGAATTCAAAAAGAAGATGTTCTGGAGGGCGGTGGTGGCCGAGTTCCTCGCCATGATCCTCTTTATTTTTATCAGCATTGGCTCGGCTCTGGGTTTTAATTTCCCAGTGTCAGTCAACGGGACATCAGCAACTCAGGACAACGTGAAGGTTTCGCTGGCTTTTGGGTTATCCATCGCGACCATGGCGCAGAGCGTGGGCCACATCAGCGGTGCCCACCTGAACCCAGCGGTGACCCTGGGCCTCCTGCTGAGCTGCCAGATCAGCATCTTCAAGGCGCTGATGTACATCCTCGCCCAGTGCCTGGGGGCAGTGGTGGCCACCGCCATCCTGTCCGGAGTCACCTCCTCTCTGCCCCACAACTCCCTGGGGCTCAATGCGGTAAGCTGAAACTTCACTGTCCCCCCCTTTTCCCCCCAGCTCTTTTTTTTCCTGAGTAGAACTGAGAGGGCAACACCTATAAGGATGTGTGTGGTGGAGGTGGTGATCTCAGGCAGGGCACTTGTCCTGACTGATGGCAGGGTGCATGCACTCACTGCTGTCAGCTGAAGCGCTATTTTAATCCTTTTCTTTGGTAAGAGATGCCATAGGGATGGTCCCTTCTGTCCGTTCTTTTTCAGAGCTTTATGGTCATTATCAGTTTTGCTCGTGTTCAATTTTGCATATCCATGCTGCAGAAAAGTGCCTTTTGGTACAAATGTAACATTGAAATCGCTGTCATTTGCATGACTTTCCTCTTTCCTGATTCTGAAGGTCTCAGGTAACACGTCTTTGGCTCGTGATGCTGGTTAATGTGTATGCACCGGTGTTTTCACATCTGTGAATGTGATTCTTTTTCAATACCTCATTAATAGTTTGTGTAACCTGATGAGTGCAGTGCAAGAACCTATGGGACCAGTGAGAGAGATGGGTAGCAGGAGAAATCCTATCACAAAAGGTGTGAGCATCACCTGTTGCATTTGGCACAGTGCTTTCATCCTGCCTGATTCAGAATCTTAGCAGCACTTTTCTTCTTTTTCCTACTTTAACTGAGCAAAAATGAGGGGAAAAAAAAAAATGGATTTCTCAGGTGTAATTCAGAGGATGAAGTGAGGAATCTGCATTTATGAGAGGTGCAGGTTTCAGACCTCTCCCATCCAGGTGCTCACAGCTGTTGACCATTACAGCATGCAGACAGCTGCATGGTGGCAACCCCTCCTCCTCCATGTATTGTTCTTCTCTGCTGTTGTCTTTGTACCATAACAAGAGCAATAGGGATAGTTACCCTTTTCAACATGAAATCATCCCACTGTCAGTGGATGTCAGTAAGGAAGTCCTACAGCCACAGCAATACCCAGAGGAGTACTATAAGTGGAAATTTCCTTCTGGTCACTTATCTCACTTGATTCTATTAAGAATTTTGTAGCTTTTCTATGGCCCCCCTCTTGCAGTATAGTCAATGCAGTTTGGAACTTGAATGTATTTGAAATCTTATGCACACTGGTGCACAAAGCTCCAAATATAAATACAATATCAGTTCAGAAAACATTTTAGGGAAGAAAAAAAAAAAAGGAAAATAAAAGTTTTAAGCATTCTGTGGCATGGGAGTTATTTCTAAGCGTGAGGAAGAGGAGCTTTTGAAAACAGAAAGGTGACATTAAGGAGGTCACTGCCGAGGCTGCTCACCTCCCTGCAGGGATCCCAACCTGCCACCCATCTGGAAACTCCTCTGGGATCATTCAAAACATTTTCTGGCGAAGGAGAGGGAATCTTTTTATTAACTCCAGTGGGCTCTGGCTCTGTGTGTGAGACGTGATCCTTTCCTCTGAAACCACTGGCAGAGGGAAATGCTGAACCGCATGGGACAGGGTACCCGCCCCGGTGGTTTCCTCGAGAGGTTTGGCTGCCAGCTGCCATGGAACATGGGAGGTCTGCTTTCAGCAGCATTCCCATTTGGTCTTTGCCTTTTGCCTGCCACAAAGCACTTGTGGCTGGCTGCTTCCTTTGCCCTGAAGCCCTGAAATTGGCTGTTTGCAAAGTGGGTGTAAGGGACCACCCCAAAAGCTTGCTCCTCTGTTGGTAATTCAAGTTGCAAAGATTTAAGTCAGAGCTCTGCACAAAGGCATCTAAGTAGGGAGAAGTCAGAGATGGAAAAATCACTCTGTGAATCACAAAAACTGCATTTGAGAGTGGAAGCCTTGCCCCTCCGCTGGAATACATTCAGTGCACCTTTTCCAATGCCATAAAATCAATGGTAGGAGGATGTGTACTCAGAGTTTTGATCTTTTATTTTCTATTTCCTATCCAGCAATAAATGTTCTGGATAGAAGAGGCTGAGGTGGGGGGGGGGAGACATTTCAGGAAATGGGGAGAGCAACAGCTGTCCCCTGTAAGAAGCAACTGGTGAGGAAAGCAAATCCATTCTTTTCCCACTCAGCTGGGAACAGCTGGGGAGGGAAGGTGGGGATTTGAGGGGGCAGTGGGTCTGAGCCCAGCATGGGGACAACACAACAGCTGTCCTCATGCACAGCTGATCACCACGGGACACATCCTGAAGTCACACTGCACTGCCTCCTTCAGCAAACAGAGCATAAGGAGATCCACAGAGACTTGCTTTGATGTCATGCTTGCTTTTCAACCTGAGAATAAGGAGGGGAGGGGCAGAGCTGGCATTCCTGATGCCTATTTTGTCTTCTTATCCTTCTAGTAGAAAATGAGGTATAGATTCACTACTGAAAAAAAGAATAGAAAGAAAGGGAGTGCTCCATTTTGGCAAAGCTTGGGAAGGTGGCTTGGGTATGCATGACTGCTTCCTCTTTTCAGGCCTTGCCAAGGACTTGAAAGGGTGTTTTTTTGTGGTTTTTTTTTTTTTTTTTGCAGGAAAATTATGGTGGAAACAAGTCAATGGAATCAGTGGCTATCCAGTGCCCTCGCTGATGCTGGGTGGGATTGCATGGGTGGGATAGATTCTGTTTTATCCTGCCCAGCTGCAGATCCTGCACCAAGGGGCCTTAGAGCTGATATCAATTCCTTAGGTTCTGTGCCAGCTCATAGGGAGGAGACAAACAAAGGTATTTCAGCTCTTAGACCTTCTCTGTTGTCCTATAGAGAGACCTAGATCTTTTCCTTTACTGTAGAGGAAACTTGGTATGATGAGGCTCCAGCCTTGTGAACCTTGATTGTGTGATGAATCTGTGCCTTTCTTATTGCCCAAAGGGAAGGAAAATGCAAGCAAACAGAGCACAGAATACAGGAATGGAAGGTACAGGGCTGAATAGAGAAAGAGGGCAGAAGAACGCAGGATGCTCCTTTACCATATTCAATAGGAAGGTCTGTTTTATTCTTAGAGGCAAGCAAAACTGTCCCACATGAGGAGTTTGATCTAAACTTCACTGAAGTCAATGCAAACTTTTTTAACTTTGCCTGGTTCTAAGTAAGAAATTCTGGACAATATTCAGAGAGGTGTTTGGATTACTGAATCCTTTTAAGACAAAACTTCCCCTGTATTTCAGTAGTAGCGTGATTGCCCAAGCAAAAACTTGGAGCACTGAAAAAACTGAAAGAGCAGTACTCAGTGTTTGTTGTTCTAAGAATTTGAATGTTTATACTTGTATCATCTAGCATCTTTTTTTTTGCTTTTGGGTTTTTTTTTTTGGCAGCTGGATTACTCCATTTTATAAATCTCCATTAGGTAAAAATGTAAGAATAGAGAAAACACAATCCAAAGTGCACTCATCTGCCAACACACTTGGCTATTGTCTAGTGAGGACAGATCTGTAGTTTGGATAGTGGAAGAAACTACTCATCATGGGCAATTAATGGCCAACAAAGAGCTCAAGCAGGAAAGACAGGTGAGAGGAGACGTCTGACCTCTAAGGTAACACAATATTTGCTGTTCAGCAAAGTTTATTGTGAGAACTTTCATCAGGCTATTAAAAACGTGCTGAGCAAAATTATTTATTTCTCTTTTTGTTTGTTTGTTTCCGGTTGTTTTTCATTTTGTGTGAAAATGGTCATCTTCTGAAAAAATGCAGACACTCCTTTACCAATTAATGATTTTCAGTAGTGTCTGCATTTCTATATACTGACTTAAATGCCAGAACTGGGGAGCCATCGTATGGAAATACTTTGAAAAATCTGCCTCAAAGATTATAAAAACTAAATATATATATATATTGTTCCAAATGGATCAAAAGTTGTAGGGAAGAAAAACAGACCCGCAGGTAGCTTTGCTCAGGATCAATACAATGAAAAGGAAAACAACCAAGAACAACAAATAGAAGAACTCTGTTTTGAAAATCAAACTCTACTCCATCCAGCAGGTCGGTGGCAGTGCAGGGAAGGAGGGAGGCTGGAGGGTTCCCCAGCAAACCCCACAGAGTGTGTGGATGTGTGGGCTGAGGGGGAACAGCTGGTGTACAAGGGTGGACGATGACAGGACAAGGGGAATGGTTTTAAAGTGAGACAGGGGAGGTTTAGGTTGGATATGAGGTGGAAGTTTTTCCCCCAGAGGGTGGTGAGGCACTGGCACAGGTTGCCCAAGGAGGCTGTGGATGCCCCATCCCTGCAGGCATTCAAGGCCAGGCTGGATGTGGCTCTGGGCAGCCTGGGCTGCTGGTTGGTGACCTGCACACAGCAGGGGGTTGGAACTGGATGAGCATCGTGCTCCTTTGCAACCCAGGCCGTTCTATGATTCTATGATTTTGGAGGTCTGGAGTATCTATTCAAGACTGATGGATAGCCATATAGATACCACTCCTACAACGTGGGAAGTCACTTGCTCCTGGAACACCCTTTGGGTTTTCAGTGTGATCAAATCTCTGCCTCCTTTAGCTGCCTTGAGGGCATCACAGGCTGTAGGAAGCTCCAAAATTCCCACATACGGTCCTACCAGCCATGGCCCTCCTGCCATGGGAGTAGGACTTGAATGCTTGGTGTTGGTGACTCATTGCTTCCCCTTTGTGATTTCCCTCTCCTTCTGCCCACGCCCTCTGAGTCTGCTCTCCTCCAGCCTCAAATTAAGCAGTGTCTGGTTGCGTTGGTAGAGTTTCCAAAATAAACAGAGAGCTTGACAGCATGAGTGGACAACTGAGTCAGTGATTGATTAAGCATTAAACGATGCCACTATTTCTCTGACTCAGTACAGAGAATGTGGTTGCCAGGGTGCCACTGGATGGATGAGATATGCAGTTGCTTTCCTGAAGTCTTGTGCTTATTACAAGTGTCCTGATACCTTTTTTCAATGCAGACTACGTCCAGCTTCCATGCCATCAGCTTCATTCTCTGTATCACCGCCCTCTGCCTTCCCTGTTTTTGATCAGATTTAAGATCCTCCAGCCAACGTTGCCTGCATATCTGTGTACTTAAACTCTGGAGCTGCAACATGGGACCAGAAGCAGCTG